GCAAGCTCATTTTCTGTGCATTTTAAGCGATGATGTGCTTAATAAACATATGCAGATTAACATACATATATGTTTTATGCACATTCTGATTATTGGATATAATACACATACACACACACACACACACACACACACAAGTGTATTTGTGTATGAAAGCGCATTGTTTTCCTACTCTTAGGGCATGACTGGAAGAGCAAGGAGCTTCTCTTCAGGATATACGGCTACAGACTGGTGATCCCGGTTCACTTCCCGCTGTACATGTGGATCCACATATCGATCACATTTGACCTGCCTTCCGGAGGCTATCACGTGGCCATAAACGAGCAGACAGTTCCTTCCAACCTGACGGTCGATTACGAGCACCGAGCGGGGAAGACACTGCCTGGAGGAGGCGTCCTAGTGCTGGGGCAGGACCAGGACAGCCCCGGCGGGGATTACTCTGTCACACAAGCGTTCTCGGGGGACTTGGCTGATTTCTGCTTGTATTTCGAATCTTTTCCCATGTCGGTTGTGCAAAATTTCGAGTGCTTTGCGGTCAACACAAGTAAGCAGCCGATATCATTACACTCCTTAGATGACTGGGATTTGATTGGCGACGTCGAGGCATTGTTCATAGATAGAAAATTACTCGATCCCAAGGCCAAAGAACCGTTTGTTCTACTTCCAGAAAGGAAATACTTTTCGGAGGCACTCAAACTCTGTCAGGTTCTTGGCCTCCCCATGGCACTTCCTAAGAATGCTGCAGAAAATAACAACCTCTTCGTCAGATCAGTGGAAATTGAATCCTACTGCATATCAGCTTGGAGCACTAACGTGTGGATAGGAGCTAAGGCTAATCTTAGCACTAAAGAATGGCAGAGTGTGTCAGACTCGTCGCCTCTTACTTATGACAACTTAGATGAGGCATATTCAATTATATTAGAAACGCGGCAGTGTATAACAATGGGTAGTAGTTTATATCCAGAAATATGGTATAATACAGCTTGTTCAAAATACAAACCTTGTCCAGCATGCGGCAATTCACCTATTAATTCCATAGAAGTTCGAGGGCTTTGTAAGCAATCCCAGTTTGACTCAGATCTTCATATCCACGGCACGAAGAACCTCAAACCTGTATTTCATGGAACTTACTACACCAGGATGTGGTGGGATAACACCACTTGGGTCATGACCAGTCGTCTCTTGCCGGAACTAGAGGCAAAGATGGTACTTGACGAACCAGATGACTACCCCGTCGGTCTCCATCAGTGGCTTATCTCAGGCGACGAATGCCCTGCAAAGAAAGTGAACTTGCTGCTCACAGTGTGTGGGGAAGGAAGCTTCCCTTGCAACGACGGAACCTGCATCGACATGAGGCAGCGCTGCGACCTCCGCGCCCACTGCGACGACGGCAGCGACGAGATGAAATGCGACAAAGTGTTCGTAGGAACCGACTACGAGAACGCTCTTCCGCCGCCACCGCCGGAGACTGAGGACGTCCTCAACATCACGATGAGTGTAGAGGTCACTGCAGTGCGGACTTTGAATCTGTTAGACCAAACAGTGACTTTAGACGTTCAACTGATGTCGCAGTGGGAGGACTCCAGGCTTAACTATGCCGACCTTCATTCTGAGCAGTATAGGAACCAGATTCAGAACTCCAACCGTTTGTGGAAGCCTCGGCTGATTGTTACGGATGAAGCAGGGAGCCTTGTAGACCTGACTGAGCGCGGGGTGTCGCTCATAGTGTTGCAAGGCTCAGACCCTCTACCAAGTGACAACACTAAAGTTATTAAAGGTATTTTTTATACACACGCACACGTACTCACACATGCGTAGCAAGTCTGTCTGTTTATTTATCCGACAACCTAGTTGTAATCA